TTTAAGTGAAAGAAGGATGCGCCTTTCTGAAAAATCTATTTCAATGCTTAATTTTTTATATTATAATAAAAATAAATGAATTGATTTTTTTTTGCGAATCATTTTTACTTTAATAATTTTACCTAAAATTTAAAAATTTAATGAGATTTACCACCACATATTTCTGGACACCCTAAGGTGTACGCGTATTTATTTAATTGTTACACGAAATAAAAATGGTTATTCGACATTTTAATTAACACGTGAATTATGGAGTTATTATGTACAGGTTTGTTGAATCAAATTCTCGCCGTTTTTTATATTTTCTAGGAGCAATTTTTTCCAGTGTTAACCTAAAAAGAAACAAATAAATTATGGAAGATTCACCGGTTAATGCGGTTTGTACTTGACACTTGTAACTCCAACATGAAGAAAGCTGGTTTTAAATATATATTTGCCTATTTATACTCGTAAGGCACATGCTTTTGCAAATGCAGCAGAAGAATTAAAAGAAAAGGAACAATGGGGACAAGCGATGCAAGCTCATTTCCGTGCCGCTGGTATGTATATCTAATTCGAATTATACAGATTTTCTTTTAAAACAAATTTATTTTTGTATTCAAATTTATATTTTCATTTAGAACAATTTGCCTTGGCGATAAATTATACGTCTGATCTAGAGGTAATGTAATATCGATTTGATTCGATTTACCTTTACGTAGATTTTCTTATTAACTATTTAATTTTTAGGCAATTCGATCATTAAAAATTCAATACACTGATCAAACTCGGCAAGGGAAGGAAGTACAACGTCGATTGGCCAAACAAGCGCCACCGCAAGAAAAATTAAGTCCCTCATCATCAAATCGTACTAGGAGGCCATCTTCATCCACGAGTTCAAAGTCCAGTGTTAATAATCCACAGGTGAAAAATAAATCTGAACAACGGAATCAACAAAATCAACCTACGCTATCTACTCAGCCAGCAGTTAACTCGGGTATACTTCAGATAAACTCCAGTTCAGATGATAGGTTATCATCCGATTTCTTAAAACCTAGTACTCCTTTAGAGCTTTCAAACGATTCGACTAATTCAAAACTTAACCCAGTATTGTCTGACTGTGAGATTAAATTAATATATCACTTTTTAACAAGATGTGATAATCAATAACTAATAATTTATCTTATTTTAATTCCTAGCAATTGCATCTACAGGAACTTTAAAAACTAATACAATGTCATCAACAACACCAAGTATGATGGATGGTTCTTCAAGTTCGGAAAAGACGATAGAAGAATCATATATGATGTTAAAAGGAAATAATGAATCAACAGATGTAGGTTCATAAAATTTTTGTTTAACCTTTTTATAATATCACACTTATTTATTTATCCTCGAAAATAGGATGATGAAGCAGATCCATTTAACAAATTTTGGGATATTGTTGAAGGGTTGGTTCAAAAAATTTCTAATCCTGTTGCCTTCGCTACGGTACCTCTTAATGGTGCTTACTCTCGAGCAACATTAGACCAGAATATCGTTCAACCTACTTTACCAATTCATTATAATACCGTAGACGAGAATATTGGTGAGTTACATTTCTTAGTATCGCTTTAGATATTTAGATGAAGGCTCATTTTACTAATATGTAGATAATTATAGTGGATGATTCTAAAGTTGAAGAGCTAAATGCAGCAATGATGGAATCATTTTATATTATACCCAAGGACCAGAGGCCTAATTCACGAACTGTAATGCCCCCACAAACTTCATCATCATCAACCCCATCGACTCCTATTCCTTCTGATGATAAAAACTCAACAAAAACTTTAGAGGAGTATTCTATTGAGAATAAGCAACTCAAGGCTATAATAGATAAGCTTTCAAAGAGAATGTTAAGTTATGAAAAGGTAGGTAGTAAATGACATATTGCACTAATAACCTCATTGTTTCATAATTTAATGGATTTCAATCTTTTTAGGCTGCAGAAGAAAATAATATGTTGAAAAGTAGCATTTTACAATTCAAAAATGACGTTCAAAAACAGGTATGTTTATTAAAAAAAAAAAACCTTAATTGGTTCATTAGTTATTTCATCAAATATACATATATTTTTTTATCTTTAGGCAAAGCGAATAAAAGTAAAGCAAACATCTCCTGAAAGTTCAACTGGTAAATAAAAATAAATAAATAATAAAGTAGCATTCTCATTCATTAAATTAGGAAAATTTAACCTAAATTCTTTTTAATGTAACATGTTGTAGTTGGTAATGCTCATCTTCAAAAACGTATAAAAGAGCTAGAAGAAGAAAATCTTGTATTAAAATCTGAAAAAGATAAACAGGTATTTTGAATTTTTTTAAAATTGATGTAATTATTTTCATCAAAATTAATTATATATTATTATTATTTGAATTCAAATTTCCAGCATGAACAAATTGCAAAATATAAAGATCGATGGGAAAAGTTAAAGGAATCTGCTAAGAAGAAACGAGTTAACAAGCAAGTTGAAGCATCACAAATTGATAATTCTTCTCATCAAATTTGAATTCTGTCAAGACCATTATTTTCAAGTTAAATTTACCTTATTTTCAAAGATTTTAAGCGAAAAGTTTTGATGGTGTTTAATTTTTTTGTTTGTAAACATTATAATATATTCATTATAATAGCTAATCCATGATTTCAAAAAAAAAATATTTAATAAAATGAATATTTCACGTTTCTGAAATATTTGTTTATTCTTTTATATAAAATTTGTGAAGGATTGTATTCATTTATTAGATTTTGAATTTCTATGTGTTTGTTGATTTCGTTACTACTCGCTGTTATAGTATTATCAAATTTCATCATGAATCGAAAAATAATCGTTCAAACGATATTTTTATCGTTCAAGTTGAACGATTATTTTCTTTGATCGTTCAAGTCAAACGATTTCTTATCCACAAATATAAATGTAATTAATATGAAATTTTAAAGATATATATTTATTAGAATAAATATTTATATCGCGGTTTGCGATTCTTAAAATTATCACTTTATAAATAAATCATATAAAATCGTAAAAATGGTATCAATTCAATGTCGCTCCCCTATAAATTATGACGTAATTGATTTTTATATTGTAAAATTTTATAGACTATATAATAAGTGCCGCGATGCAATTTAATTTCGCTTTTAATCAATAAAATTACTAAGCGATGATCAACGAAATCGCCCTCTGATTAAGCCAC